TGCAGATGGTGTAGCGGTCTTTCAAGATTATGTTCTATTATTTTAAATGTATCTGTTCTTCCCACATGCTTCTTACAAGTGTATCAAGTTCCTGATAGGTGTCTATGTCAGTCTTACTTATTTTTCAAAAATGTCAGCGGCTCGGCTCTGCATAAACATAAAACACGAGAATTATGTCGATTCAACTGAATATTTATCACACAGAGTTAACCTTGCTTACTTCGCTGTTGGTGGTTATTGAATGACAATTTCACTGATTAAATCAAAATGTGAAATAATTTGTTATGGTGGTTTTTCKTTTAAAAGTAAAATATAGAGTATAGTATTTTATAAACTAAATCGTGATATCGTAATTACCCAGAAGGAGAACTTAAAATACACTTTTTTTAAGTAAGAATAGAAAATAATATCCGCTAATTAAATAATTATGATAATGGGTAATTTATTTATAAGTAATCAGAAATTTTTATAATTGCTATTAATATTTATAAATCGTAAATTTTTATAGAAAAACTCAATAATGATGGAAATTTTGTGTATACAGATTTTTTAAGCTAATATTCTAATTGTTAATTCACCTTAAAAGTACATACTTAATTGGCATAGCAAATTAATGTTTGTAAACAAATGCAGTATTAACATGGCATATTATTTTTCTAGTTATTAAATTTCGTAAGTTATTTAATAGAATTTATGCATTATTTTGTAAAGTTATAACAAGACATATCTTTGAGTAAAAAGCTCCAATAAAGATATTGGATAAAAATTGAATTAGTGATGATTCTATTTGATTTATTTTTTCAGGATGTGAGCTTTGTAAAGATTATAGCTGGCAATTGAAAATCTGCTGATTGAGAGGATCTTTCATAGCCTTATTAAAAAAAATCAGATGCTGGCGACAAGCTTGGAGCAACTTCTTTCTAAATACAAAAACTCCTTCACCAAATCGTCTCTAATAAACAACAATTTAAACGAATCGTCGCGTAAAACCTTGTAATTACGCGTAAACGTCTAATTTTTTGTCTCGTGTCTGCAATGATATAATTTGATGTCCACCTGGAGTCTCCCATATTAAAACGCGATTAGAATGAATGCATCTGCTATGATCGCGAAGGGAAGGGGTTAGGCACGTTCAGCAGCACGTGTTTTCTCGCTGCTTTGACAGCTCTTCGTAACACCGCCTCTGATGCGCGAGCCGCGACTACAAACTGCTGATCCATAAGATAAGTCGACTAAAACTCCATAAAGAGGCGAAATGTGACATGATGTGATGTGTGTTGGGCGGATATTACAAGYTCGTTACGAAATTTCTATTATTTGACTGAAATTGCACAGCTTTAAGCTAAATCCTGATTGCACTTTCCTGCAATCGGGGCAGAAATGCTGATTGCGGATCCTGCAGGCGATTGGAGGTTCCTGATGAGACATTAGCCGAGAAATAATAATTAGTTATTTTAAGTTTTAGATGATTGTTTATTTATGCTGTGTTTAGCTTCAAGTGAAAGTTTAAAGAAAATTATTATTCCGTGTTCAATTAGAGTTCATCAGTGATAATTTCTATAATAAATTCTGAATACATTATTTGTAATCATGTTTCTGTTATTAAATTTTGTAAAGATTTTTACATTGAATTACAGGATGTTTCAGAATTCGCGGTCCAGAGAAAAATGACAAGTTAGTTGTTTAAGAACATGAAAAAAATGTTACAAAAAGTCCATCTATAAAAATAGTAGTTTAAATTTTGTACTTTGACCTTATTTATTTCTGATGGAAAAATAATTTTACATGTTTTTTTTGCTTCAGGCTATTAGTAGAAGAAACAAAGAAGCTGTATCCTGAATTGTAACTATGTTTAACATTATTTGTGACTTTTCCTGGCAAAGTTTTTGCACCTTTACTAAATAATTATGAAAAAATATATCCAAGATTATTGGTA